TGGCTTTGTCAGAAACATTTCCCAATTTGTCCATTTCAATCGCACTTCTGTTTCAGCAATTACGGAGCTGGACGTGTTCACTCGCCATGTTCGTTATAACCATAAGGAATTTGATTTGGCTATTCCTGGAGCTAAACACGTGACCATCCTCAGAAATCCAGTGTATCAATTCGAGTCTGCATTTGTGTTTTATGAGGTTGCTGACAAGCTTAACATATCAAAATTTGAAAATCCGATGGATATGTTCTTTCAGAAACCACACGAGTACATATCTCAAAGGTTTTACCGATGGGAGACTGTTTTTAATCATCAGTTGTTTGATCTCGGATTCGATACCAAGCTATCAAGTAGCCAAGATGCTGTACAATTTAAAATTCTACAACTTTCAAACGATTTTGATTTAGTCATGATTTCAGAATATTTCGACGAGTCATTAATTCTATTAAAACAACTTTTATGCTGGGATTTTGAAGACATTTTATATTTATCTAAGAATAGAAGAAGCAGTTCCAGTCACTACCAAATGACTAGTTCATTAGTGTCATATGTTTCACAGTGGAACAAAGCAGATATGAAATTATATAACCATTTTAACAAAACATTATGGTTGAAAATTAAACAATATGGTCACTATTTTGTTAAGGATTTAAGTGAATTTAGATCACGATTAAAGGTTGTTAATGAAAAATGCATAGAAGGCAGTAGGCAGATCTATAAGAAACGACGTGGAGATACAGAATTCGAAGAGTATGAATTGAGAAGTGATCTGCCGGTTAGTGATTTAACATTCTGCCAAGACTTACTGAAAGCCCATTCAGATTTATATAAACTGTTAAAAAGGGACATGATAACCCGAGGTAGCATAAGACAATGATTAGCCAATAAAATATAGGAACAACCTCATATTAAAGTTAAATATTTAAAAAGAAGTATTTTAAATTAACAGAATATTCTGTGAAAATTTGAATTATCGCTTTCTGATAAGCAAACGCCTTAATGAAACATCTAAACCATACTTATTCCAAATATCGTTTCATGGTTAATCAACTGGTCATATTTAATTTATTTTTACGAAAAATAAAGTGCATGTGATCAATAAATATGAAACTATGAAACTATGAATGATATTTGAGATATTCACGTTCGGTATTCCTGAAACACGGCGAAACCAGCATTATCAATTCTCTCTTACTATTTATTTAATATATAT